AATATATGGAAAATACTTAAATTGTGATCTCGAAGACCTTCTGCGTTGGTTGGTTGAGCTGGGCGATGTGGTCCCCGGAGACGACGGCTCTGCGCGTTGAACGTCCTCGTATCCTCGTCGAAATTCCTCGTCGTAAACCAGTGGCCGCGAGTCCTGACCTCACAGGAGGCACCAAAAACTGTATCGTCGAAACCTCTCCAACATGGAGAGATCTCGTGGTTTCGTATGTTCCCGTTGGGTCAGGATGGAAATGAATAGAATGCGTGGTTTTGAGCCAGTGGAGAAATTCCTTTATTGGCTCGTGGGGAAAAGCCTTGCGGCATAAAAACCCCTATGATCTTTAATCGAGTATGTGTGTTGTACAACAGGTGAAATTCGTGTATGTATCGAGTGAACGGGGCCCCGCGATAATGCAGAGATTCTCGCGCCAAGTATGACCACGAGCTGAATCTCGTCCCGAGTCTAGGCTCGGTGACTCCGGATCACGAGACACAATAGTGTCTCGCGCCAAATATGACCACGAGATGATTCTCGTACCGAGTCCAGGCTCGGTTGTGACGGGTCACGAGACACAGTAGTGTCTCGCGCCAAATATGACCACGAGATGATTCTCGTACCGAGTCCAGGCTCGGTTGTGACGGGTCACGAGACACAGTAGTGTCTCGCGCCAAGTATGACTGTTGTTAATACAATCGGATCGATCGCTATTCTCAAGGGGCTGAAGCGAGTCACGGTTAGAATATGGAAGTTAATAGATCTCGAATCAATCGGGTACCTGAGCACTTCACTGTTCGCCGAAGGATATCGTACTGAGTGTCACGTCACGCTCGTTGCCCCTTTTTATTAGAAATTCGGCGGCTCGGACTCCCCCCTCCCCGCTGCGGGCCCACGACGGCAGCGCGGACCCACGACCAAAAAGCGAAGGTCGCGTCCACTTATGCTTCCCAAAAACGCGCGAAATTAAAATGAGTATAAATCCAAAGCATCAAACTTCACTCCGTGAAACAATTAAAGTATTCAAATGGTGTTATCGATTACTTTAAAGGAAAATGTGTGTATAACAAAATATTAGATTCAAATAATTATACTTACCCAAAAGATAAAAAGTATTTCCTCGATCGTATATTTGTTTTAACATGGGCAAAAAGTTGCTATTATTCCAGATGTAGCTATCATGCGTACTTCCTGGATATCTTGCATTGTCATGAATGATTTTCATATGACTGTCGCAAATCTGAAATAATACATGTAGTTATGAAGAAATATACAGATATGTATATATATATTTGCGCTTTACAGTAACTTACCAATTGAACATTAATTGAATGATATCCTTTCCGGTTTACATAAGTATGTTCTGGAAACTGTGGATGATGTGTAGGAGGTGCTATGATTGCTACATGGGTACAATCTATGCATCCGATAATTCCGGGAAAATTATATTTTTGCCAAAACCTAAATGAAATAACATATTTAAATAAATTAAATGAATTTTATTAAGTAATTGTAAGCAGATGGATTGTATTGACATATAGTATATCAAGTTTCTTAAATAGACACATTCTGTGTACATTTAACAAAAAGCTTACCCATCTCTTATAGATTTAACTTCTTCTAAAGTTGATGGACATTTCACCCATCTATTAAAAATTTCTGTTTGGTTTAGAGCTCTCGTCACGTTATTTATACATCTGCTTACTGATGGCTGACTAACGGCTGAATGAATGTTGTGTCCTATATCCATCTGATAACTGCCTGATGCCATAAAGCGTATAGCTGTTGTTACCTGTAATAAAACAATTTAATAATTACACATAATGTGTAAATAAATATATATGGGG